AAGAAGGTCTAAACAACAAAGGCATGGCACTGATACCATGTTTTGTTGTGCACACCATTCAAAGTAGAATGTGGTTTTCCAAAATAAGAGTAAGGAAAATGGTTTGGTAGGGCTGCAGCCCTATCAAAATAAGTAAATCCTCACCTCATAACTCATCGAAAATTACAGGTCAAGCATTGGAAAACCTTTACATTAATCATCTCGACTTTAACATTATGGTTGTGAAAAAAATTTAGAATTTCAAGATCTAAAAATAATGTATATTATAACAAATTATCTAGACCGTCCATTTTTCTTTAAAAATAAGTGTTCACAGATCCGCAAGATCTATACCATTTTTTGAGTTTCAAATTTTATTGTCATTGTTGGAAATTGATTTTAAAGCCATCATAGAGATTTTTGTTGCTGAAAGTACATTTTGGACGAGGATTTGAGGTGAGTCTTTATTTTGTTTTCATAAAGCCTAGGCCTTATAGAAGCCTCATCCTAAGAGCAATGACACAGCCCAAATTAGTATAGCACAATAAATATAAAATGACTTAAGGTAGAGTGAGGTAACAAAGACCTATGGAAATGGGTTAAGTATCATTCATGCAAGACAAGAAGAATAAAAAGAATAAGAATGATGAATGATCCCGCCCCTCAATATAACGTATGTAAGCATTCCTATCATGTGGGTGATTAATGCTTAATTGGGTCCAATTGGGGAGCTTGAAAATAAGTAATGAAAGCATCTTCAGAATTTTTTATTATATAGCTTTGGATGAAATCTACTGCTGTGAATATTGGCTCTTTCTTTAAAGAACTTCACCTGTAAATGTCATTACTATTAATACAAATAAAAGCTATCAGTTCTTAAAGAAGGGGAAACAAACTCTTGGTGTCTTAGCAACAGTGGGAAAATAACACTGTAATTGAGTGGCAATGATATTTAAAGGATAAAAAATGTTCCCAGCAAACGTTTCTGATGTTGGAGGCTTTGGTGAGGATGGAATATTTTCAGTCAACTCACAATGTGGGTTACTAGGAAGGAAAGGGATAAAGTTTTGATGTTCATAAGTAGTTTGGAGAATATTTTATTTCTTAATATGACATTAATGGAAATCTAAGGAAGCAATAGTTCCTGCTCAATTTTACAAGCATGAATGCATATTCTTTGTCAATATGCTTCCAATATGATGTATGTTGAGGTGCTCTTACTGTGCAACTTACTGGAGTTTGGAGTTTCAATTTTCTATGAGGTCCGTTTGGAGAAGGATCATATTGGGCTGCAGAACAGGTCGGGTCGACCCAACACGTGCTGGTCCACCCAACCTGTGTTAGGATTTAATAGCCCTCTTAAATGCGGAAACAAGTATCCCAAAAGCTGGTCCCACCAAGAATGTGCAGTTATCTAGCTAAAAACAAAATAAGCAAGAGTACGAGCCATAATACGAGAAATAAAGCATAAAACACACACACCACAAGAACACAAGTATTTACGTGGTTCATTCCAAAAGGGCTACATCCACCGGAACGGCAAATTAAAATCCATTGTACCCTTGAAAGATACATAATAGATTTTGGAACATAGAGTTACTTCTTTAACCGTCAACAAAACCCAGTCGAGCAATCCCTTTTAGGCCCGCTCTCCCAATCGGTACCACAGCTGATCTCTCATCTATATTCTACAGCTAAACCACTATCCAGGAAGAGACCTTAAACCATTATCCAGGAAGAGAACTTTAAGAGCAACCGAGGCTTTCTTTGACTAAAAGGGAAACCACCCAAAATTTTCTTGGGAACTGCTTCTCTACAAGAAACTAGCCTCTGAATCTTCGAGAGAGGCTATAGTAGTGTTTATCTCTATTCCATAGCTAAACTACTATCCAGGAAGAGACCCATCTCTATTCCACAGTAAAACCAATGTCTAGGAAGAGAACTTTAAGATCAACCGAGACTTTCTTTGACTAAAAGGGGAAACCACTCAAAATTTTCTTAGGAACTACTTCTCTACAAGAAACTACCCTCTCAATTTGCATGAGACACTATAATAGTGTTTCTCTCCATATGAAGTTCTCTTCTCTCTAAGAGGAGGTCTTGTCTCTTATGCATAGAAGGCATCTGCCTCTCTCTTTCTAGAGGAAGCCACATTTCCCATATGATCCAAATAGGGCATATATATTCTTTCCTCTTTCATCCCATATATATAAGGTCTGGAATCCAGACTTAATAGGAAAATTCCCATAGATTTACATATATCTAAAAAATCAAGAGATATATCCAAGAGTCCTAACTCCTAATCTTTTTGGATTTCTATTTCCTTTAGGAAACTTATCAATATTAATCTCAATCTCACGTATTATGGTATTTCCTTATGTTGGCTGATTTTGGATATCACCATATCCAACAACCCATGTCTTGGTATGGGTTCACAAAAGGGTCCCAAAGTGTTAGGTCTAGGTCTGAGAACCTTGGTCCTGACAATCAGGTCATGCCTTGATCCACGGGGGACCCAACTCGTCGGATCCGAATATCCCTAGTTCTATCATTATTTGTAACAATCTTAATATCCTTCAGGACTGCATCATATTTAATATTTTTCATAAAATATGATATGGTGATCTGGCAAAGTGCTATTATGCATATTGGCAATATATTGGGTATCCAAGATTTTACAGATAGTGCTTTTAAGTTGTCGCCGCCATTCCTTTTTTTTATGTTATTAACTGTTAAAAATGTTTTTGAGATCGGTCGGACTGCCACATGGCCATTTCATCAGCCATTGGCTTGATGAGAGCGATAATATGCAGATGGTGGATGCCCTGTGGCATCCATGTCCAGTATACTCACACTCTGGCCACGTGGCAATGTGTCATCTTCTAGATTATTTTGTTGTGTCTCCATTGTGTCCATGGAAATGGATGTACAACCTATAGACCAGATCCTATTCAAGTAAGGTTGTCTATTGCCCCCATTCTTCATCTCTGATTTCTCATCTTTCTCACAGTGTTTCTATCATATTTTTCCATATAATCCTTCTTGCCTTCTGATACTCACTGGAACCGAAGCCACATTAGCGGAGAAGTCGATAAAGCCTGCTCAGATCATGGGCCTTGATCTGCCATTAGAGAAGGGAGATTGATTTATGAGTTGGTACCCCAGATCTTGCTCAGGTTTTGGACTCTTACATCTGCTATTAGAGAGACTGCTTCTTGAGGTTCCATTTTCTCATTGGAGAGAGAGAGGACGGAGGGAGGGAGGGAGTCAGTGAAAGAAAATAATAAAAAAAAAAGCAGAGGGAGGGGGGAGGGGATGACGGGGGGAGAGGTGTTTGTGATGCCCCCTAGTTGGATCTTCATAAAGAAGAGAGAGGGCGTGAAAGCCATAGGAGAGAGAGAAGTCAACCCAATGTCAAATAAAGGGCTTTGAAGCCAGGTCCGGGATGACTCAGCAGATTCACCAAGCCCATCCTAGGTCATGATTGGGTCTTGGTCCAGGTAGTCCCTTTTGCCAGCCTGGGTGGGTCCAGATGCATACCTGACCTGGACATGACCTGTTTAAGGCCCTAGGATCATATGAATGATTTGGAAAATAAAAGCAACAGGGAAGCCAGGTCTACAATTTACTTAAATCTTGGTACACTGCAGCCTCTTCTCAAGGACTCGTGGGAGATTCAGAGTTGGCAGCATTTTCAATTGTATGGGTTGTAAATTAGCAAGAAGTGAAATATCATATTGGCTGGTTGGAATCATGGGGAGCATAATTATTTCCATGGAGCCTGGCATTATGATATCTCAAATGACCAAATGCGTTTGAAGGAAGAGACTTGGATAAATATGAAGAGAGAGGGATCCTTGCTCTGATTGGGATTGAGTTCAGGAAGTATTAATGTGAGTGTAAACCAGTAAAGATGGGCTTCTCCTAAGCGTGGTCTGTTATGGTTGCAGCTCACAGCACATGGTCTTGTACTGGGAGAACTGGAGCCGGTGGGGATGCTTAGGAATTTGTTCATAATTGTTTACTCTTATCTTTAGTGTTCACTACTTTGAAAAAGTATGAATCAAGTCCCCAGGTGCAAACGAAGCAGAGAGTTAAGGAAATGAAGTAAATACTAAGAGACCAGATGGTGCATCCACTCCTCTCATGAGGGAGTTGGTGACTCTAGAGATTAATTAAAATGAGATGACCCTCAGTCTTAGTAAATGTCTAAGATTGCCTCATTTAGGGTACAGTGCTGTATTTTTCTCAGAAGCAGGCTAAGAATCTATTCATGGGGGTGGGGTTAACACTCGAAAGATGATATGCTCTTTAAAACATGTCCCCTTCGAGTCCATGGAAGTTGATGCTCTTTGGAGACTGGCTTCTGGGTTGGTTACATATGAGAGAAGCGGTTGGTAGTTCTTTTGTGGGGGCAAAACAGGGTATTGAGCACACTCAAAGTTTCCAAGTTTCTTCAAATGCAAAGTTTTTAAAATCTTCTCCATTACTGATCTTTTTCATACAAGATGCACTGTCAAGTTTCAACAGATTCTTGTATGATGTCTGCAGTTGTAGTGCTATTTTGGTAATTTCTTGTATCTGTTGGATTTTCCATTGTATTTGAAGATGTTTAAGAGGTTTTAAAAGGTTTCAATTAGCCTAAACATTGACTGCAAAAGATCCTCTGGCTTTCAAGGACATGCAAAGGTTATCTCCGGAAAGTAAGTTCCACCACTTGGGCCTTCATTCCTGATATATTTGTCATTTTGTCTGTAAAAAATGTTTGCAGAATTACTTCAAAAATAATTTGTTCCTAATGACAACACTCATGGCCACTTGTCTTTGTGTATCCACATTTCCTGCAATAATTGCAACTTCTATTCTGCAATTCTTAGGACATTGTAACTCTGCATCAAGATCCAAATTGTCCATGGGAACTACTTTACAAATTGCACAAAACGACTATCCTCAAGTTCCGGTTGCACAATAGTTTGCTTAACCAAGAATTCACTTGCAGTGACTTTCAGTAAATTTTGCAGGCATTTGCCCCCAACTATGTCCAGTTCCAAATGAGTGCCAGGGCTTAACTGTTGTCGAGAATATAATTTTTTTAATGGTGGCTTCATTGAGTAAATGAATGATTACATTGTCAAGTATATTTATTGACCATGTACTAATGAACTTTTGCAAATTGGGCCTTGTAAGCCTCCATGCTTCTTTGTCTGTTATCTCAACAACACTGGAATAACCATACAATCGTTGAGTAAACTCCCTAATTCAAAGGACAATATGACAAAAAAAATTTAGAGCTGGCCCAAAGTTTAAAATTTATCTTTCATTTTGTTATTACCAGATATTAAAGGTACTAAATAATAGCCATTTTAATGGGGATGATTTGCAGCAAACCACTATAATCAAATGATTTTTTCTACTGAATTTTTGGACATGAGATAGACTTGAGCTGGGGAATGGTTCACCTCAACGATCCGCTTTGGAAAAATCTCGTCTGAGGTTAAATGTAACATATTGCTTTTATGATATACGTACCGTGGTTTATATAGGTATGGTTTCAAACTTATGTGATTGTTATGACTTGAGAGCCTTTGCATTTTATTGTGCAATTCTTTCCTTCCTTGCACATAGCATACTCTTCATAGTAGCAAATTATACACTTTGTTGCAAAGGACCTACTGAGGATGGTGTTCTTGATATGAAATTTTGAACTCAACTGTAGAATCACCTTGATCAATATTCTGCTAATAAAAAAAAAAGAAAAGATTTGAAGTTCTTAAACGCTATCCGATCGTCTGAAAACTTTAACGGCCCTCTTTTAAATTCTACGATGTTGTTTCTTCATTTAGTTAGAGGCGGGCATGGAATGTTTTAAGTTGGATGCTGGAATGATGAGGTTATATCCCAAAATTTAGGATCTTATAAGTACTCCTAGATACGTTTTACCCTAGGAACTGTAGGTGTGTATGACATGCTACTGTAGGAGTATACAGTCTCTCTTTAACTTTTTTTTTTTTTGGAAAATGGTTTATTAAGGCTGTAGCGCTATCAAAATAAATAAAGCCACACCTCATAACTCATTGAAATGTGTTGGAAAACCTTTAAATCAATCATCTTAGCTTGAACATTCTGGTTATGAAAAAAATTAAGATTTCAAAATTTAAAAGTAGTGTATATCTTAACATATCATCTAAGATTAACCATTTCGCCCTAAAAATAAGTGTTCACATATCTGCAAGAACTGTACTATTTTTTTAGCTTTAAATTTTATTGTCGATGTTAGAAATTGAATTTTAGAGCATCATGGGAGATTTTTGATGCAAAAAGTGCTTCACGGATGAGGACTTGAGGTGAGGCTTTATTTTGTTTCATAAAGCGTAAGCCCCATAGAAACTTCATCTTTTTTTCTTGTTTTTTTTTGGTATGGTGGTATACAGTTTATTTCCAAATTTATTGCTTCTCCAGTTTTTACCTCAGTTTATTTCCAAATTTATTGCTTCTCCAGTTTTGACCTCTCTAAGTGGCACTGGAACAATATCCACCTGAATCCAGGGATTAGTTTCATTTTGCCTCTCCATTCATTTTTAGGTGTTATTAATATGAGTAATGATCTTATGAGACCCTCTCACACCTATGTGTGTAAGACTCCAAAAGATTACTATTAAATTTAACACGGATCTCTAGAAAAGTCGAATTCCACATCCATGTGATAACGTTTTTAGAGATCTGTGCTAAATTTAATAGTGACCTTTTAAGGTCCTATGTACATGGGTGTGGGAGGGTTTCACAAGGTCATTTCCGTATTAGTATATAGGGCATACAAATGTTTATGTGGCATTCCCCCAAGGTGTAGATTTTCAAAACAAATAGGGAAATTTACTACATTCCTATTTTATTTTAAAATTTTTAAAATAGTCTCATAGTTCTGTAGGCATCCTACTTGGGCTAAGGGGACATCCAGGTATCTGCAACCCTAAACCTTAGGGCCCAGACCTAACCACTTTCCCATGTTAAAAACCAAATAGCGAAATTTACAACCCTAAACTTTAGATCCCCCTCCCCCCAAAAAAAAAAAAAAGCCAAAAAAAAGCAACACCCCATCCCAATCATTATCCGTCCTAATACCATGGACCCTCAAAAGTCACCCAAATTGGGCCCAATTTGACTTCAAATTAGAGGGGCGCTCATAAGCTTTTCAAGAGTCTAAGAATCAATCAAATTCAATACATGATTTTAAAAGTTATGACCCAAATAAGTGTGCTTGCAAAAAAAATCCATTTAGGTCCCTTATTTGTGACTATGCCAAAGCTGCACAAGACCTTAGTAAAATTGCGTGGAGTGAGTTTGTTAAGGTTTCAAAAAATATTGGACGGCCCCTTGGCATCCAGTTTAGCCTAGGGTGCCGAGGACCTTAGACACCCTGAAGTGACAAATTTTCAAAAATGTATATATAGCATGTCCAAATAAAGTATTGAGGGATCAAACTTATGAGTCACACTATGAAATTGTAGCAGATTGCTATTGAGCAATGACTAAGACATGAAGCAAGTGTATCATATCAGTTTAGATTTATGTCAGGGAGGTCAACTATTGAGGCTATTTTTCTATTTAGTCTATTGATTTAGAAGTTCAAAGATAGGGGTGGCACTCAGGTTGGGTCGATCTGAAGACTCAATGGATCAACTTGAATTGTGTCTGGGAGCGGGTCCAAAATTTGTACCCTGTGGTTTGGGTTTGGGTCTGGTATCAGTCTAGATTGGATCCCTATCGGGTCGGCTTGGGTCGTGTTCAGGTCCAAATGACTTGGACCCGGGAGGTATGGGTCCACGTGGGATCTTATCGAGCCAGGTTCGGGTTTGGGTCAACCGAACCCATTGACACCCCTATTCAAGGATATTAGAAAAGGCCTCTACATAGTCTTTATTAGTTTAGACCTCCATGCAATTATAACGAGTTTAACCCACCTCTTCGACCCTGGGCAAATCCTAAATGCCCTAATATCTAAGTGTCCCCTAGAATAGAGCGGTCCACCCCCACCTTGAACGCTTCTCCTACTCTAACAAAACACCGATTGTCGCTGCTCAGAATTCCAAAGACAATGGAACGGTCCCTCCACATCGACTACTTTTGACTCGGACCCAATCCGTTGTGCCGAGCCTATAAGCGTGGCTTATAAGTAGGTCCACGGTCTTTTCTTCTATTTTTCTTTTACTTCTCTTTATTTTATGTAGTGCATTTCTTGTTCTCTTTCCAAACGCCTTTCCAAAACTCTTTCATGTTTTCAAAAAGTCTTTCTGGCATTTATTTTCCATTTTCTGGTCATTTTTAGCTGGCGCGTTGGACTACAAAGGAAGAGACCACCAAGTCGTATCTTTCGTGGACATAATTTGATGGAATCCTTTTATTCTACCCCCTAATCACTGGATTATAAACAAGAATTAAGGCGGAGAGGTCCCTTGTCATCTGGTGCAACTGCCCTAGGTTGTAAGATGAATGTATTATTTTTTTATTTAATTAATGAAAATTTCGGAAGTAGGGGCCTTCTACCCCACCGACTTACGAAAAACAAAACTCCCTTGTCATCTCGCCCCAAATTCAGGTGTAAATGGTTTTATATTTTACACTTTTCACTTTTGAATGGATATAATGTATTTTAATTTTATTTTTGGTTCTATACATTAGATTAAGCTCAAATTTGGTAAGTTTATATTTTTCACTATCACCGGCCCATAAAAAATTTAAACAAGAGTTTAAAGTAAAAATATCAAAATACCCCTAAATATTTTGGAAATATTTTGTTTATTTATTATTTTAAATTATTTTTTAATATATTTTATAGGTGTGTGATGATAAAAACTATGAACATACTGTATTTGAGTTAAATCTGATATATAGAAAAAGAGATCAATTAAAATAATATGTTCCTAAAAAATGGGATTTGAATGGAAAATTTGAAATATAAGATACTATTTTAAATTCCAGGAATTAAAACAATTTTTTTTAATAAATTTCTAACCAAAAATTACGGCCATGTTTCGGGGGAAGTCGTTCAAAAATGAAAATATGCATCATACAATAGTTACGGGAACGCATGATAAAATCTTTTAGAATATCAATATAGGTGAAATGGGTTCTAAAAGATTTTCTTATGCGTTCTTACGTATGAGAAAATCTTTTTGAATATCAATATAGGTGAAATGGGTTCTAAAAGATTTTCTTATGCACTCTTGTGACTATTGAGATAGTTTTAGAGGAATTATAAATCTTTTAGAACCCATGGTCGTGTGTATTTTGAATTATAAAAGATTTAGAACTATGGTCGTGTGTATCTTAAAATATTCTAAAACGTATTCAAAATACACACGACCCTGGTCGTGTGCAAAGGAAGGGAAATATTCTAAAAGATTTTCTTATGTTCATGTGAGGGTTGAGATAGTTTTGGAAAAATTATAAATCTTTTAGAATATCCATCAAAATACATACGAACATGAGAAATTCTTTTATAATAGCCATCAAAATAGCTGGGCACTATAATGAACAGATCTTCATCATATGGTTAAGAATGCATATCACCATATGAATTTTAATATTTTTTCTAGAAATCGAATCATAATGAAATGTTAGACGTGTGTACTAAAAATTAGGACGCACAATTAAAAAATATTTTTTAAAATATAAAATGATCAAAATGCCCCTAAAAATAATGGGGGTAATTTGATCATTTTAAGTTATTGAAATTTTTTTTTATATATTTTTATATGGTGCACAATAGTGTTAGATATATACACCCAAAATTTCATTTTAATCATTTATAGAAAAAAAAATCTAATGGTTGAAATTTTACCTATATTACTATTCAATATAGTTATCCAGCTATATATATATATATATATATATATATTATTTTTTTTTTTATATTGTCGTTATTACAAAATTAATTTTTGGTTTTCGTTATTACATATATGTCGTTTTTTTAATTCCATAACACTTTAAAAAAAGAACAAAGAACAAAAGAACTGCCTATTTTCATGTTTTTTAAAAACTAAAATATTTAAAATTTAAGAAATTCATGTTGTTGAAAACCCGAATTTATTATAGAGAAAAAAAAAAAATTTGGGATAGCTAAACCTCACGTCATTGTGGCGGCCAAACGAGCGTAGAGGATCCAAACCCTAAATCTGGTTAGGGTCTTTAGTCTATTTGTTCTCGTTCCATTTCATAATGCATTCACCGTGCTCTCTCTCACACATCCAATCTTAGGTGAGCCCTACTATTCCAAATCGTGTGAGAAACACTAAGGATC